CCCCAAAACCCCAAAACCCCAAAACCCCAAAACCCCTGCTCAATAATAAATTATTGATAAAATGGAAAAAGATATCTCAAATGTAAGACTTGATCATAAGCGTACCAAAAAGATTAACCTTAAAATTCAGAGAGGTCTGAGGCAAGGCGGATTAAAGTAAGTAGAGGATAACATTGGCTGATCTCTTTAGGAAATTCATCGCATATGATAATATTTTTATAAACTTTAGTAGCAACCAATGGGTGATAAAGATGTGAGATAATGGTAAGGATACGTTTATTCCTTAGAGAAATATATTGTCACTTCTTCATAAATCTTTTCCAGTAGAGATTCATACTGCTTAGTTTTCAAGATGCAGCAAAATAAACAACAATACATTCTTTTATTTTTATATTAAATTAGATCTTGTACTCAAAAACCAGAGATTTTCAATTGTGCATGTGGCAGGATTACCCAGACGGAAGAAGAATGAACTAAACAGAATACTTGAAAGAACTCTTATCTGTGAGAAATTAAGACTTGACGTTCAGTTGGATAAGTGGAACCTATCTAAATTCAATTTTTACAAATAATGCTATCTTCAAAGCTCTTTCGTGAGTAATGAAGGAATTAGTTCTTTGGCAATTCGAAATTGATAGAAAAGGTCTCCAAGGGATTATTTCAGCAGGATCACATTTAGAAAGAATTTATATGATACAATGAAGGATTTACTCGGAAGGATGCAGTTTTAGAGATGACATCAAATACGAAATTTATCGTTTAGGATTCGATTACAGTGGAGAGCAAAGATACAGCAACTGGGAGACGCATAGAGATAGACTTGAAGATTTGCTTAAAGCTATTTCTGAGAGTTCCTTGAAAGACTCTTTGGAAGTACTATCCCTCCTCCAATGCATGAGCAAGCCCAAAGTCATCACAAAGATAGTCAAAAAGTACGGTCTCACCAAAATTCACACATAGCCCTCTAAAAATCCAGTCCCTTCAACATTGTATCACCCACTTGGGGTTTTGGGGTTTTGGGGTTTTGGGGTTTTGGGG